GCAAAACACGAAATTCTATTTTGGACCTCATCTTCACTAATCAACCTTCTAAGTATAGTATATCTGGAGTGATAAATACAGCAGTTTCAGATCATTCACTAATATATGCCATTAGAAAATGTCTTAAACAGCCAAAATCTCATAAAATAGTTACATTAAAAAAGTACCAAATTCAAAATTGTCCCAGTTTAATGCTGAATTTGCTGATGCTGATTGGAGTAATGAGATGTCTTTGCAAGATCCTGATCATGTTTTGTCAAATTTCCATAAAAGAGTGGAGACAATACATCAAAAATTTACTACTACTTGTAAAATATATATCAGGCAAAATACAATACCTTGGGTAACTCCTGACATTATGCAGCTTTTAAAAAAGAAGGCCACCTATTTGAAAGCATACAGATCATTAAAAACACCTGAGGCTAAGCTTATTTTCACACAGTTTAGAAATAAGTGCAATTTTGAATTATTCAAAGCAAAACAGCTATATTTTGAAAATCAAATAAACCGAACGGTTTCCAACCCAAAAACATTATGGAAAACACTTCTATACAAATCTATAACTGGTGAAAATAAATTAAAAAATAACAGTTTACAACTATCCATAAATGGTACTCTTCTCACCGATCATGATAAAATTGTATTTTAAAGTATTTTGTTGCATCTGTTCAGGAGTTATCTTCTGGATTTATTGTTCCTCAGTTTCTCCCATCAGTACCAGCGGCATCTCAGCAATTCTCCTTTTCTGAAATTGCACAAAGCGATATAACTAACATTTTGGGTTCTTTGAATGCTTCTCAGGCTTGTGATACAAATAATTTAAATATGACTTTTCTTAAAACTCACGCTAGTACACTTATTCCGCTTTTCCATCATTTAGTTAATCTGTGTATTAGGCAATCAGTATTTCCCGCCATGTGGAAAACAGCCCAGATCACTCCGATTCTTAAGTCTGATGATCCAACTAATATCTCCAATTACCGGCCAATTGCAATTCTCCCAACTGTTTCTAAGTTACTTGAAAAAACATTATATCATCAATTAATTAATCACCTTGAATACAATAACCAGCTCAGTGATTGTCAGCATGGCTTTCGACCATTGCGGTCAACTGTGTCGGCTTTGCTGCTTTTTACTGAGCAGATACGGGCGTCTTTAAATAAAGGTCAGGTAACAGGAGTCATATACATAGACTTTCGAAAAGCTTTCGATACAGTTAACCATCAAATTTTGTTAAATAAACTTCTTTCTTTTCATTTGTCCTTCTCTGCAATAGATATGTTTAAATCATATTTAAGTGACCGATCTCAGACTGTAAGAATCGGCTCGGTAACATCACAGTCACGAGTGTGTTCTATGGGAGTTCCACAGGGCAGCATCTTAGGTCCTTTACTTTTCCTTATGTACATTAATGATCTTCCCAATGTGTTTGATGTTTCTAGTACTTTGTTATATGCTGATGACACTGTCATTTTTTTGTCTGGCTCAGATATTGATACAATTAATTACAAACTTAACTCAGACCTACAGCATTTACATGATTGGCTCCAGGATAACCATTTAACACTTAATACTAAGAAAACAGAATGTATGTATTTTTATTCATCTAGGAAACAACTGTCTATATAAAATTTCATCACCTTTTCTAATCAAAAACTTTCAATTGTATCCACGTATAAGTATCTGGGAGTCTCTCTTGACTCACATCTTACTTATCGTGATCATGTCCAAATTTTAACCAGAAAGTTAAACCAAAAGTTATTTGTTTATAGTAAAATTAGACCATATTTACTGCATTCTCTTTCTAAAACATATCTTCATGTCATTATATTGTCCACTCTGTCATATTGTTTACCTGTTTGGTCACTCACAACAAATGAGATCCTTGAACCTGTAGCGAGACTCTACAATAGAGCCTATAAGATTCACAACAGGCTTCCAGGCTGGACTCACCACTGTGTTGCACTTGCATCTTTGAGTAATGCCTTGACATTTCAGAACTATAGAATAAGCCATGGTTTGAACCTTTTTTATCAGATCTTAAATGGACACACTACTACAGGATTGTCTGCGCTAGCTCCAAAACTCAGCTCAAGGCCCGAACGCACTACGAGATCTGTTGCAAATGGACTTCTCCCTATACCAGCTTTTAGAAACTGCTATGGACAGAAATCTTTCTTTAATTTGCTCACTAGAGCCTGGAATGATACTCCACAGCACATCAGATCTATAACATCAATAAGACTATTTAAACAAACTTTTGCTCGCCATCTGATGGACAGGTATATCTGTGAACACTGAGATAGCTTTATGACCTCCACATCGTAGTTTGTGTGCTTGTTGCTGTGTGTTTGTTATTGTATGGTCTTGGAGTTTTGTTGTGTTTGAGGTATTCATGTTCTGCAGAACAGGAACCTGCTGAAAATCAGTTCTATACTGAGTCAGGCCCGATTGCTCTTAATCTTTTCCTGTTTAAATAAATAAATAAATAAATAAATAAAATAAATAAATATCGATAATTATCACGATAAACCTTAAATCAATATTTCTTTCAAGTTTAAAGCTCCTGAGTGAAAGTTGAATAAAACAAATGGTTAATTTTGGTTTTAAAACTTTTCTTTATGGTTAGAACAAACAATTGACGCCAAACAGTGGATCACTTAACAAATCTGAGGCAGAACATTTATTCAACAATTATGATCAAATCTTTTTTCAACAAAAATGCACGAGTAATATTAATTTAAATCTTATTTCTGTCTCTTTTCTTCAACAAAATAAATATCTTCATAGAAAAATTAAGTGCAAATTCATTCGTGATTCAAATTAATTTAATTAAACATTTATTGAACATTTGTTAAATTGCTATAGAGGAAAATTATATTGCCATAATCATTATTATTGTTTTATTGCCCAGCCCTAAGCGGCACTAACCAATATTGTTAAATTAACAGCGGAAGAAATGAGTGTATATATAATGTTAAGGATGTTGCTTATGTATTTTAGTTCCTTCACTGTTACTCTTTTGGTCCTCTTGCACTGATTTCATCAGCGTCGATTCCAGGTAGTTAACAACTAGCCTGTGAAGCGAGCTCGCTGAAGAGCCTGTCATTTCTCTCAGTTGTTTGTGGAGACCAGACCAGAGCTAAAAGCAGGGTGAATGTTGGACTTACATCTGTCAGGTGGCCAGAGACGCAGCTCCAAATGAATGCTAATGTTGCTCTGTATTTGCTGAATGTGTAAATAAACACCGTGACCAAAAATTCAGTTAATGCAGCTTTAAACAGTGTCTTAATGGAGAAAGCACTGTGGAAATTTGATTAGTTATACTTCTGTTCTAATGTTGCTTATACAAAAGAAGTAATTACAATGAAACATCATGCTTAGAGACAGCAGGAAACTCAATTAGCATTAAGCAAGACAACAGCATCTAGAAATGTCCTTTGTCGTCTTCCAGTGTGCAGCTGAAAAATAACTGTATGACGTCTCTTTCATTCAATTGATGTCCAGTAATGTCTTTACAGCATCTTCAGCATGTGATATCTATATGAAATCTGACAGCCATGGCTCTGGGTCTCTCTCATTCAGTCTGAGTGACCTCCAACAGCTCTCAAACACAATACCTGGGAAATACAATTGCTGTCTTACAAATTAAGCTTGAGGTGTTTTGCATTTGCAGCATAAGACATCAAAACATTGTTTTTTATATCTAGTTTTGCAGCATTTGTATGTGTGCATTCTGATAAAACTATAAAATACTGTATGTACTGTGTCCAATATGTCAGAGAGGGAAGGTGACAGATGAGGTATTAACTGTGTCTCTTGAGCTTTTATGTGGTAATGGAGCGGTGGAGTGGGCACCGTGCCATGTGGCGATGGTGATGCTGGGCGGAGGATGTGGATACACGCCGTTTACGCTCTATACAGGATTAGGGCTGTTAAGTGCAAGAGGTCAGTCTGGCTAATGGAGCTCATATGTTGGTGACAGAGGGCCTTGTAGAGAGAGGGATGCAGTAATGGAGGGAGAGGGGGGTGGATCGAGCGAGGAAGGATGTAGAGGGAGGGGTTTATGTGGAGCAGAGTTCATACAGGCTTTTTACTCGTTCTGTCATCGGAAATTAGATGGAGACTGAAACAAAGCGTAGTTTAATTTCTCCGCCTTCACACACAGAGCTGCTCTGGTCTTATCTGACTCAAACAGCAACCGGCTGCTTTCACATTGTCGCTGCTCCCTTTGTATGTACTGTTTGTTCATATATGTGTGTCTCCCTCAGCATGCTTGTCTCTGTGACTTGTTTTCGCTAAACTCTGTCTTTTGTAAAATAGGTCAAATCAAAAAGCAAGGAAAAAGTCAAATGCCAGGTTCTTTACGGGTTCTTTTTGGAGGGGGGAGAAGAAACAAGGTGCACAGACAACTAAAAAAAAAAAATAATAATAATAAATAATAATAAAAATATACACTCTTAAAGGGTTACTTTCATGGAGTTTAGAGACTCACAAGAGAGAGATTAAAACAAGTTGAAACAAGACTTTTGTTCCTAGTATGGCTCAAGTGGCAGACACTTCCTACAGATCCTACATTTCCCATAATGCAAAACACTTGCATCTGTCATCGGACTCTTAATAACCCTGATGATCCAGTGTTATTTATTAACTTTGGAAAGCTCCTTCAAAGTCACAGAAGACATACTGTTTTCTCTAGAGCTGAGATGATGAGTCGATCAACAGAAAATTAATCTGCATCAAATGTAATAATTAATTAATGATTTAAATAAAAATATCTTATTTCAGCTACTTAAAGGTGTGCATTTTCTGCTGTTTGTTTTAGTTTTCTACTGTGGTAAACCAAATATGAGTTTTGCTATTGTATAGACTAAACGACTAATTAATTAATCAAAAAGATAAATAGCCGATTAATTAATTAGTTGGAGCCCTAGTTATCACAGTACTCCTTGTGGCAACATCCGTACTACACTAACCATGATCCTTTCTTTGCTTTACAGGGAGCGAAGCCGGGACCGCCACAAGTCCCGCAGTAAAGACAGCCGCTCAGAAAAGTCAGTAACAATTAACACGCCACCTGCTGAACCTCTGCTGGGTGACTCGGCTGTTCGCGGTGAGCAGGTCCAGGTAGGGATGAATACAGCACCATGTGTAAACGGTGCACGATCATGTTAGCACACCACTCCGGAAGCCTCTTTCACAAGATTTCACATAAAGTATCACCACACACTTTCCATACATTCGCCTTTTTAAGCAGCTTGTTTTCCCAAGTTGCTTTATGGATGCCTCTAATACATGAGAGGATGACTCTGCTAGTTTAATTTATATGGGATTTAGAGCACAGGAGATTTGTCAGTCACTAGTCAAAATGAGTTGGAATGATGATTATGTTTATCTGCCTGTGCTGAGACAGGCCATCTGGTATATGAGGGCAAAAGCCAGAAGGGCCAGTCCACTTTTGGCGAGGTCTGGGCTGTCACTTTCAGGAACTCAGTCACTGACAAATATCCGCAGCGGGATATGGATACAGCAGGCTGCTTTTCTGGCCATTACAACTTTGTTTTATCCCTTTTTGTCAGAGGCAAACACTGTATTTCACTGCAGGAAGTGGGTGAATCGATGATACGATCCAGTGTGAGGTGTGGAGGTGGCTCCTGTGGCCCCCGCCAAAATGGACCAGACCAAGCCAAAACAGCAGCTTAGCTGTTTTAGGCTGTCAGTGAAAATTCAAACTCTCAGAAATCATGCAGACTTTGATGTCAGCAATTGCATGCTCAAGAAATGGATTATGTGATGGATTATTTGATAAAAGAGAAATATAAGGTAGGAAAGTGTTTAAATAATAATGCCAATATAAGCTGAAGATAGAGGCTACTCCGTCAAATGTGTTGGTTTGTCCATTGGCTCATAGGTGTTCCTGCCAAACAGACAGTCTACTGACTCTGATTTCATATAGCAGACAGCCATGTAATTTCTTTGGAGTCAGATTAAAGGCAGAACAAATAATAGATAGCTTGTTCAGATAGCACTGTGTTAGCTGGGCAGGTTGGCTGCAAGTTGGCATGTTAAGACCTGAAGTACCTGGTAGCACTTGAGGGATACAAGAGTTCTTGGTCCAAGAACTGTCACGGCGAAAGAAAACGAGTAAGAGGCACTTTGTTACCTTAAGTTTTGCATGTTATTGTTGAGCCAACACTGTCTAGTGTTTGAGACTTCAGCACTTGCACTCTCCGTGCACTATTGGATGGTGATGCTACAGATGATACACGTAGTTTGTGGTAAACCACACGTTTTTTGGTATACATGGTATACATCACCAGCCTGTTTCTTACTGGATTTAAAAGTAGCCTAGCCCTGTTTGAGACTGTTTCATACAGTATATGACCAAAAAATGTCATAAAAGTGTAGTGTTTCCACTACCAATTACATTAATTCTGTCAGTTTTCACTCCCCGGTTTCATGTTACCTTATATAAAAATGGCTCAAATAAGTTTCAAGAATACAGATTTTAGATTTGTGGAAGAAAGAGCACTGTTATCAGATCGGTACCGTGTAGTGGCACATACCCTGAGTTGAGGAATTGTATTGGGAGAGAAAAAGTTGGATCCGTGCATCCATAATATTTTTGTGGTACATTAGTGATGCCACATCTAAACATACTTAAGCAGTGTAACTGTGAAAGTCACTCATTAGCAGACTGAAACCTGGACAGTGTTTAAGTGACAATGTGCAATTTTCAAAATTGCAAACATGACCTGTCATGTTCCCTCGAGAATGAATGACACTTGAAGCTTCTGTTCAGCTTTGTATTGCAAATGATTCAGTTGTTTATCTGTGTATATGATCAAAGAAGTCATGTCATTCATAGTTTTGGGCGTCCATTCACGTCTGTTATGCACATGTGAATAACCTTTATCTATAGCTTTACAGGTTATACTTGAAAACAGTCCAGAAGCTTAGAACTAAGGAGGCCTTTTGATGAGCTGTCTAGCTTGTGAAAGTGTGAAATGTGTGCAGTTCTTCTTCTAGCAAGCCTTTGAAAGCAGCAAATTCAACACTTGCTGCTGGCAAGAGTGAAGTGCATTTAATCAAGAAAGAGAGAGAGATTTTAGCGCACAGACCGCCTTGGCTTACCCAACTCTGACCCGCTCTTTTAGCCAAATAACTGTCTGGCACAGTGGCCTTCATCAAGTGTTCGGCCTAACCAGCTGAAGGGAAAAGATGACAAACACAAATACGCAGACACTCCAACGTTCACAATCGTTTACTGACCTACTTGGCGCTCACTTTCCCTTATGGCAAGCCTCGTTAGCAGCGCCCCGTGTACGTGTGACTGTGTTTTTTGTCTGCATAGTTTCTAATTTTACCAGATGACAGGATTTTTTCGTAGAGCACAGCCATCCTTAGTATCTCGCTCTTCATGTCTTATTCATGCCGTGGCCCGCAGAAGTGTCGCTGACAGGGCGGGGAGTGTTTGGCTTTAGTTTGAGTAATCAGGGCCATCGATTCTACTGAGAGAGGCTCAGCACAAATCCATGTGTGTCTGTGTGTACTTGTGCGCTCCGGTCTGCCATCTCGCATATGCTCCTGTGTGTGACTGTTTTGTGTCTGTGTGCGTCAGTCTTGTCTCAGAGTCTAACTGTGCAGCGCTGTGCTCATTACTCCACTGCTGGGACTTAATCAGAGTCTTGGCTGACAGAGCAGCACATCGCTCGGGGCAGGGATGTCCTCACAATCCAGCACAAAAGTTTCTCATGGCTGGGATGTGTCTGTGATGCCTCACCACAGGAATTATAAAAGAGGGCTTGCTTTACATGTAAATTTGTCGTATAACATGACTGGAGATTTGAGATTAACACCGAACCAGCTGGAAAATTGTTTAGAGGATTTGCCTGCTGTCAAGAGATAGTGTGTGTATGCTTAAATTTTTTCACTTGGCAGCAAGTATTCACAAGATGCCGATGACATGTCAAAGAAACTGAGCCACTTTTATAGGAATAGTTCAGGGCAGGGAGAAACAAAATAACAAAATCCACCTATCAACACCCCTAATGCTCACTAGTTAATATGCGCTGGTCTACGACAACCAGAATGTAAAAGTTACAAGTCGCCATTATGGGCTGGACTCCAGGAATTTACTTTGCTTTTATATTTTTTGTACAAATTAAACAATCTTAATATCATGGGGTTATTATCTAGCTTTAAAAGGGTGCTGGTAGGTGGATTTTGTTACCTTTTGGCTTTTCAGTCTTTATGCTAAGCTAGGCTAACCAGCTTCATATTTTGTGTTCAGACAGGAGTGTGGTATCTTAGTATTGTCTTCTAACTCTCAGCAAGACAATGTAAGCGGTGCGAAAATGCCGAGCCACTCCTTTTAACTCAGGTACATGAAAGCCCATTTTTTGCAGCAATTGTTCTAAAGCAGCCCAGTTTCTCATGAACCCAATTCTACTCACTTTTTGCATCTCCGATGGGATTTCAATGCCGCTTCCAAATGAGTTTGATCTAATTCATGTTACCTAAGATTGCTTGAACAGGACATTTCCAGCAGGTTCTTCCAATTTCAGGAGGCAGGCCAAAGCTCCAGGCTGTGTGCTAATGTGTGAATGTGAAAAGTAAAGTGTTCGGCAGTAAAATCTTTAGGTGGGGACGAGTGGTATCACTCATGGACATTCTGCAGGTGGACTGGCAATATATCATTTGAGTAATTAGGTCAGTTTTTCCTGCTGTTTTTGTTGTACGAAACTGGATATTGGAGTGGATAGTGAGAGGTGAATAGGAGCGGATCAGGTCGATATAGCATGTCAGCTTTGCAGCTTAGGAGTGTGATGTAGGGTGGCATTGTATGAGGTGTCAAATATGTGAAATGTGATATGTTTAAACCATAAAGCATTCTTCAGGAATTAGCACCTTCCTGTCCCAAGAAATGGAAAGAGAAAGTGGAGCTGGGTTTATTTTTGGATGTTTATGTGCTCTTTAGAGAAGGTGTCATGTGTGATTTGCATTGTCGGATCAGTAAGGTGCAGTCACTGGTGTTTGATCTTGTACTGTATTTTTGCAGAGATCAGATCATGTGCCTTTTTCTTTTATCCAAATTCTGTCATCCCTCCTCTATCTGTTCTTACCACTAACATACTGATTTAGTGGTAACCACAGGAAGGAGATCCCAAACATGAACGCAGTGAAGTGGCAGTAAAAGAAAACCATTGTCGTGTTTTAACTGTGGCATCTGATAAGTTAATCAAAATGCCGAACTAGCCCGTTCCCCGAAGTTGCACCCTCAACCTCCCGCAGTTCCACCCTCCCTACAGCTTCATCCAACCCAATTAAACTCAGCTGCTTTGTGATCTCAGCTGCTCGCTTACTTGAGCCGGACCTCGGTATGGTAACAGCAGCACCGCTCTTGGTAGACCCCAGCGCAGGTAGCTCCGTCGCCCCGGACTCTGTGGGGCGCACAGGCAGCCATGTCGGGCTCTTGGAAGAGGCAGAGCGCTTGCGTTCATGTTTGGGATCTCCTTCCTGTGGTGAGTGCTTCCTGGCTCAGTCTTCTGTGAGACAGAATCCCGCGGAGCTTCACGGTTATCCCCGGTGCTTTGTGTGTTTGTCAGTGCTTGTCGTAAGCTGCGAGCCACGGCAAGGCTGCAAGCTCTGTGGGTGGGCAAAGCAGGAGAGAGAGAGAGAGAGAGAAAGTCTTAACACTTTTCCATGGTAAATTTTTTTTTTGGGGGAGTAGATTTTTTTTTTTAGGCAATGCCTGTGCCTCATTAGTGAGTCGACAGTGGAGAGGTGAAGAGGAGAGAGAGATTTAGAATGACGTGAACCAAACGGACACGAACAGGGGACGTTGGGGTTCAAGGTCATTGCCTTTACCACTAGGCCACTGGAGAAGTTTATTAGCACCTGGAGATGAACCTTGTGGCTAAAGACTTGAGGTAAGGTCAGCACAGTTAAAGACTTCTTCCCAGGTTTCTGGCTTTGCTTTAGTATTTTACATCTATTTTCATTATTTAAAGCTATTGTAGACAGTAGTGATATCCTGAATGACATTGTAATTTTTAAAAAAGATCACTTGTCATCATAGCAAAATGGCCCAGCAAAATGTATCTCTGCGCCTTTATGAAAAATGT